GTTCGAAATAATTAAACGACTAAAATTCTATAAATATCTTACTATGTATAGGTTAAAAATACATGTTATAACATTTTTACAAGTCTATCTTTAGTTTATTATGCATACCTAAATTAAATGTCATTCTTTCTGCTTCATCAAAACGATTTTGTTGTTTTTTTATAATAATCACCGTTAAGAAAATATAGCATTTCATTTAGGTATGTGGGATTTTAACATAAATTTAAAAACATAAAAAACTATAGAAAAATTGTAAAATACACTGAAAAGTGAATTCTGAAGATTTCTCTAAAATATTAATTATTATCATTCCGCTGTTAAAATATACAAAAAGAAAGTTATTATATAAATACACTTCCGAAGGTATTTACAGACAATCTTGGGTCATGGACACATCATAAAACACTAAAACATTAATAAATTCGCTAAAAAATTATAATTGCACATCATATTTGATGAAACAAAGAAATACGTAACTAGAAGTATTTTTCTAACGGTTAATAATTATCCTTACAAATATAGTCAATTACGTATGTATCTTATTTCAATTCAGAATCCACAAAACTTAATATTAAGACGGATTTGTATTGTTTAAAAACTTCATTAAAAATTTTACATAAGAAATAAAGTTACAATGAAGTGAGAAGGTTAAATAGTTACATAATAGATGTGGGTTGAAATAGTGTTTGTTAAAATTTTAAAAAGCCTTGCGAGAATAAAACATTTTCTACGTTTCTCTCAAACCAAAAGCGTGCCTAATTCAAATATTGCGTATAGTAAGATACACATGCCATGTAAAGTATATAATAGGTACTTAAGTGGGTATAATGTAGGTAATTACTAAAATTATAGAATATATTAGAAGTATTTATATTTCAGCAAAACTACGCATCGAAGCGTCACTTAATTACGATAATTATTAAGAGAGTTATCATTATTCTGGATTCGAAATAAACTCCCAGACTGCTGGGTGCGCAGTTATTTTCTTTATAAAGACAAAACATAAAGTTCAATATGGAGTGAACAATAGGGGTATTAGAAATAATGAAAAACACCTTTCAGTACTTGGGCCTTTTTACAATTAAGAAGATTAAATCATCATTCTTGGGTATAAATTTGTTTAGATAACATGTAAGAGATCCACAGAAGCTTTGCAAAAATGAACTCTAACAATGGAGACAAAAGTCAAGTTTTAGGCTTTCAAAACAATGATAATCATTATTTCTAGTTAGCACGTTGTATAGAACGCATCATAAATATCATACAATATTGTTGTATCTAAGGCACATAATGTTTAGGCTTTCAATTATTTCTCCATATCGTAACAATGGTGCTAATAAAAATAGAACAAAAGTCATGTTGTGACAAACACGCTATTTTAAAGCGATGTTTTATCTTTCAAATACACGAAAATGTTTATTTTTAAATTTCACATACATTACATTCCGTTAAAATATTGTGATTGTCACATACACACAAACTATTGCAAAGCTATCAATAAACGACTACCGAATCTATTAAGGCTGTCAATGAAAAGTATTACAACTCTCATCTTCTTTCATTGGTTATACACCATAAATTTGTCATAGTAACAAATGCATTTCATACAACATGTCTCCGTGTATCGCTTTAATATACATTATTGTTTTATTTAGTACCTCCCAATAGCACTTACCGTGCATTTTGCCAATCATACAAAAACAACTATTTCAATATAAGACACGTTCAGAATGAACAATTTAATCACAGTCTAGAATTTTCGGCACCAATGAGCTTTTTAAATTCGTCACCAATTTTTATATTGCCTTAACGATTGTACAGTGTTATGCCACTCAGATATTAAACGACGAAATTGTGTAGGTAATCCGAATAATGTATTCAATAAGCCTTTAATGACCTTTTTAATTTTCTGATTTTTTAAATAGATTTTCTAATAATGTCTACAGCTAGCAATTGACTAATCCCCGCTTTTCAGCCTAGTTGAACTATATTATAGCTGTATTAATAACACCTCTATAGTTTTCATCTGTGAAATAGCTATGTAATAATTGTACCAAATGGCTTTTCTAACTAAATTGATCATTTTTATATACGGCATTAGGTTTCATAGCCGTATTTACTATAGAAAAAATATTCTGCGAGTCAATTGTTACGAATATAATATGGTCAACCTACTTCAGTACCAATCTCTAGCTTTACTAAAGCCTTTTTATTACACTAATTTTAAATTATTTATTGCTTGTCGTTTATTGCTACGTTCCTACCTTACTATATTACTAAATGTCTTACATAAATATACTGCCAAATAAAATTATGTAAAATTATTTTAAATAATTTTTGTAATTATGAATTTAGGCTAGTTTTGAAAAAAGCACGCGTGTTCAAAAAAGTACATAAAAAGTGATCGATGATTTTAATACAGATGTGACAAGAACAACTCAAATTTCTCTCAAGGAGTTTTGTATCATAACTTTGTAATGACGTTACGTCAATATTTTTGTTATTTTTTTTATTGCCACGTTAGCTTCAAAGTTTTACTTAGCTGCATTCTCACCAATTGATTTCAACTACCAAAACGCAAACTTAACCGTACCATACTTACATAAATCTAAATCTATTAAAATTGTGTATATATATTTGGATTTTATTACGTGTAATTTGGCAACATTTTTTAGTTTCATCCCTTTACCAATAAACGTAAGGGTTTATTAATAATTGTAAATATCTTTACCTTTATTTTTAAGTAACATTAAATTTACATTGTAACTCTAATGACTAGCTTTTCTCGTATGGCCACGGAATTGCGAATGAAAATTATTGTTGCATGATAAAAATACTAACTTCTAAACATATTTTATAAGATGATAGCGGTACATTTTAGCAAAAAAATATTAAAGGAAATATTTGATATTTAGTTGTAACTGAAAAATGGCAGATCAAATGAAGTTACACTAAATAATACGTCTTAAGTACAAAGTTAATGATGATTTATCCACAGTACGTGTATGAGCGGATGGATTTAAAAGAACACTACAATTTACAAGTCCCTATTAAGTAAGTTTAATATAAGTTGTATTTATGAAAGGCACCTATTAAATGTCCTTCGACCAATGTCGAACTAAATTAGTTTTATTTATCCTTGCTTTCGAAATGGAGAAAATATACAAATAACATTAAAACTTTTATGAATGCAATTTTATATCTGAATTATGTAGGCTTTTAATTACGATATCGAATCGATTTTATTGGGTGTTAAGTTATCGTCTCGAAACGAAAGCAAGAACAAATATGACAGGCTCACGGATACTTTTGTAGAACTAAACTAATTCTTAAGCAAGGCTCGTCTTTCTTAAATATTCGTTCAATAAATTAATTTTCCTCTTCGTAAACTAATAAGCTTATACTATTTACTTTTAAATACAAAACACACAACAATGAAACAAAAACAACTTATAATATCACACTTACGTCAATTGAAATACGTTTCGATCGGAAGCATTTGTTTTCTATACAACTTCCCTAAACTGCCTTAAAGGTCAGCAAAATAATTACTATATAAGCTGTTTTTATTACTTTTTATTATTTCACTAAATTACTGGAAGGCTTGATCATTCATTATACTTGATTTATATTCTATAAAAATATTAGAATATATATGTTGTGTATTTATTGTAGCTTCATATTTTACATAATCAAACATTATCGTTGAAGTATTGTATTCTGTTGTCACCTTATCAATTAATGAATGAAAATTGTATTGATTATCTGTGTTTATATTACATTAATTTTGACTTTTTTGTGTAGATGGCGTTGGTTTCATTTTCCTAGTGCCGATGCGACAATGTTACTTTTACATTACCAACAAGCACAGATAATCAATACCGCACATAATTTAAAATTTATTGCTCCTACAACCATTGCCGCGGTCCTCTTTAATTATTCATATATTTAACAATATTTACACGCGCCCACGCATTTTATTCCACCGTCTTCGACGACCAGAATATCAAATCAAAATATTTGAACACTCAATTATAGTTGAAGAGTCAAAATGAGAATTTAACTTAATTCTAGGAAAGGTAAATATTGTTAAAATTGTTAGCAGAAAAGTTACGTAACTTTTGTCTTCAGTCACGTATATGACACAAAGAGATCATTAAAAAATCAATTAAATATACCATTTAAAATGCCTACAAAGAAATAACAATTTAAAAAGCTTAAACTACTATATAAAACAACCGTTTACTAAGTTACGTATGTTGTAACTTTACATAAATACAACTGTGCAATTCGGTAAATAATCTTTAAGGACTTTATGTGAAATACAAATTTCATTAGACTCATAGTAGCCAATATTAAGAGGGGAGACTGTTAGGTCTCCTTAAAATTTTGAATAGTGAATAAGTCATGAGTTTACAGAATCCTCTCGTATTTGATCATTAAAAAGAAGCTATACCAATAACAAAGTTTTTAATGAAAAAGTTGGAGAATTGGAGGTTATCTAAACAATCGTTTAGAAATGTGTTTCATTAATTATTAGTTTCAAATTTTTATTTTGTATAAATGACGAAAACAATAAAACAATTTTTGAACTGATTGTTTTTCCCCAGTAGCTTTTCAACGAATTAAAATTCAAATTCTAACACAAAAAAATTATATGAAGACAAAATTGAAGAAATCTATTAACGAAACAATTTGTATAAAATCATTGAACTAATATTTACTACGTACTACAAGAGACAGCGAGACTGGGTCGTTTCCAACGCATATTAAGCCCATGGGCTCAAACTTACTTTTTTTCGCGCTGTCTGTTCTAGTACATTCAATGTAAAAATATCAGGGCCGCAAATTCGGATAACAGCAATTAGCTACAAAAGAAGAAAAAACATTTTGACAGGTCAAGCGTCAGGCGATCAGTGACAGGTGAACGTTCAAAGGGTCCGGTGAGCGACGGGCCGCCAGTGCGGCGGCGGCGCGGGCGTCCACCGCGGCGGCGAGCATCACGGCGAGCGCAGCGGCTTGTCGGGCGCGATGTCGTCCGACGTGTCCACCACCTGGCCGACCCCCGATGTGGTGTCCATCGCGGTCGCATCAGACGTGATTACGTTCGATTGGAAAAACCGCTCTGTGGGTACAACATATGGAATTTATCGGTAAATTACGGAATGTAGCGATATACTGCGGCACGCTATAGACCGCGCTCAGCGAGAACTTGTACTTGGCGCATAAGGACGTCCACCACGCGTTCAACGTGCAACTCTACAGACACGTACGGACTGAGGAGGTACATTATAGTTACAGTTATTTACGTAATGCGGCTAATAGTAGATGGCGTAAGCCATATGCGGCGAAGGTGGAACACCATGGGGTTTTAGTCAGTGCGAGTCCAACATAACCCGTTGATATTGTAAGCCATTTTCAAACTAGAAGTCCGTCAACGTAGGTACCAGCCTCTTACGTATTTCTGTCGGCAAAGAGTAGTCCTTGCACTGCTGTGTTCTAGTCTATAAAGAATATTGAATTTATCGATAACCTAGTTACTACGGCTAATAATAGGTCGGGAAAAAGGTTTCTTCGTATTTTGTTTGTATTAAAATCTCTATGGTTGTACTGTTTTTATGTGGCTGGTTTTAATATCAATACACAAAGGACGTTAAGAAAAAGAAAAATAAAAAATAAAAAACACTTTCGGGCCATTTTGCAATTGTTTTTCTGTCCGCCAAAATAAGTGAATCTATCGAAGAAATTCGATACATTCTGAAGTTTTATTACAAAAAAAGGAAAAATGAGATTCCAGCCGCGAAACAAATTGTGACGTTTATGGAGCTAATGCAGTGTGCGTTTGCAGTCCGGGAATTTGGATGTCAAAGATGCAGCTCGCTCTAGTCGCCGTCATACGGATAAAGTCGACCCTTAGATTTTCATCTCTTTCTGTCTCTTCAGAATTTTTGGGTAGTGTTAGGTTAAGATCAATAGACGACTGTGAAAACTACATGTCGCATTTATTTGAACAATAATCCCAAGATTTTTATAGCAACGGGATTATGTCATTACATACAAGTTGACAACAATTTATCGAACAAAATGGAACATATATATTATAATAAAATGTAATTAAACTTTGAAAAAAAAAATGTCTTGAATTTGTATATAAAATACGAAGAATCTTTTTCCCCGACCTTTTAGGTAGTAGGAGTCATTTTTAAACTAGAAGTCCGTCTGGGAAGATACGACCTTCTTACCACTCACATATTTTTGCATCCAAGCAGCAGTACGTGCACTGCTGTATTCCAGTCGGAAGAGTATAGAGAGTCAGTATACTGGCTGTGAGTTATAACATCTTAATACTCAAAGTGACAACGCATCTGTAGCTTTATTTGTTTGAAGCATTGAGTTATATGTGCTACGTACTAGAGAAGCCATTCCGAACATAGACTATGTTCAACTGAACTGTAGTTGCAATCCATACAAACTAAATATTGCGTAAATTGAAGATTTGTGAATTCCATAAAATAATTATTATTACATTTTATTTAGAAATATAATATATTTGTTTAGATTAAATTAAGACATTTTATATTAAATTCTTATATTTATTTTAAATTAATATCTTATTTTATATCAAACTAAAGTCTTCGCGCATGCGCGACTACTACTCCCGCGCATGCGCGAAGACATAGAGTAGGACACAATTTTTGTTTGGAATGGCTTCTTTAGTACGTAGTACATTTAACTCAATGGTTTGTAGTAGGTTGCGGGTGTCTAATACAAGTCTGTAGGTTGCAGTAACCACTGAATATTAGGTGGAAAGTAATTTTGTTTGTCATTTCAGTTTAATAAAAATTACGTGTCGTGATAGCTAAAAGGATAACCGCTCGCCCTAAATTTTCATTTTAAAGTTACACACAATCACCAATGAAATAATAATTGATGCAATTTTAAGTTACAATTTGTAACGTGTTTAGTGGGTAATGTTGTGAGAAAGCCGATACTCATCAGTAGAATGTATATGTATGTAGGCCGCAACTGTACTTTCAGCGAATCTTAGAACTACAATTCGTTATCATGTTGATTAGTCAATCGTCGATAAAGAAAATCGCATCGATTCGACAGTATGCGTCGGACATTAATAGAGTTCCAATTTCTCATAATCATTACCAATCATAATTTTTGATAGAGCTGCAAACAGCTTCTCTTCAAATACTTCTTTGCTCACATAACAATAGTAATATTATGTACATGATACGAAATCTTGAGTTCTTTTTTGTTTGTGAAAGTTATCACCGTGTTGTTAATTGCAAATCTACTGCTAACTGTAGATCTATCTCTAATAAAATTTAAAAAAAAAAAACATGATCTTCAATCACTTGAACACCAATATCTAAATTAACTAAAATATCTAATTGAAATAAATGTCAGAGCCTAGTTTTAATAAAACATCATTCATTTATATATCTCCTTTGCAACATTTATCAAAACTCTAGAAATCGTTCCCAAATTAAAAACAGCAACACTTACCGTCGTCTAACAATACAACGTGATCTGGACCTCCAGGTGCAGTCATTATATTAAACTCCTCCTCCAATGTTGGAAATGGGGCATTCCACCTGTGAATATAATACAACGATATAAGAAACTAAATGTGAAATACTAAGGCGATAATAATTATAATTAAAAATATTACTGGTGCACTACCAGTAATATTTTTAATTATAATTTTTTGAGAACAAAAAACAATCTAAAAAGCGTCAATAAAATGCTGTGATGATGATGATAATTTCATAGCCGCCTTGAATGTCTTTTATCTTTCGCTTTATCCTACTCACCTCTCTCTCACTCTCTGTCTCTCTTTCTCTCTGTATATCCCTTTCATATTTTCTTATAAAATAGAATATAGAATACAATGATTTTATACAATGTAGATTATTACACAATACTTATTAAAAGACATTTTTTTTATTTAACAATGGTTCGGAAAATACCTCTGTCCTGAATCAGAAAGAAACCTAGCGGGATTTTTTTAAACATATTTTAACCATAATTTTGTTTCTACAATTTTTAAATGAATTTTAATAGAACCAGCATACTGGTAATCACCTCATTCCCAGGGTTTATTTTCATTTATGTATTCTTTGATATTATAATAACCTTTTTGTACAGTTTTTCTATAATAAAATGTTTAAACTTGTTTATTGACATATTTTGTATATTTTCTGAGATTTTGTTGTAAAAGTGTATACATTGCGTCATAAATGAATTACTGATTCTGTGGGGTCTAGTAACTTGTATTACAAACTTGGTTTCTTCCTAGTATTTAAAGTATGAACATCTTTATTCTTATCAAACTTATTTTTATTTTCATAAAAATAATGCGTTGCCAAAGTTAACATGTTTATTTGTTTATATTATGTTTCTCTATAGGACTCTTTATAATTTAAGTTATAAATCGCCCATACGGCTCTCTTTTGCAAAACAAATATGGCTTCAATGTTAGGCGTGTTACCCCGTACCAAAATTCCATAAGACATTACGTTATGAAAGGAACTAAAATAACCTAGCTGTCTCAACATTGGCGAGACTTCTAACCTCTCTTACAGCTTATGCTATAGAACTAAGTCTGCCTGCTAACTTAGATATATGGGGGCTTCATTGAAGCTTCGCGTCAATGGTTATATCAAGAAAATCAGTGGTATCTATAAGACTCAACTTCTCCCCATTTAAGAGCACATTGGTATTAGAATGTTTAACATTATGTATTGTAAATTTAGCACATTTTGCCTTACTGCCGTTTAAGTGCAAATTGTTGGCGTTAAACCAATGTAATATTTTCTATAGAGCATTATTTACATTTTCAAAATTAATTCACTAAACAATGACTTTCAAAATTAAAGAGGTATCATCAGCAAATAATACCATATCGTGATTGTCTCCTACAAAATAAGGTGAGTCATTAATATAGATTAAGAACAGGAATGGGCCAAGAATCGACCCCTGAGGAACGCCCATTGATACTACCGATTCGGAAAACCTTTACCATTGACAACGACTTTTTGAGTTCTGTTATTTAAATATGATATAATAAGTTTAAGCGCAATATTTTTAACACCGTAATGTTGTAGTGTCCTAATTAATATCTCACGATGAAAACAATCGAAATCCTTGAAAAGGTCTCAAAAACTACCTAAGGCATCTTGTGAATTATCTCAGGCATTGAAAATATATTTCATAAGCTCAGCACCTGTGAAACTTATGGAGTAATTATTTTTTATACAATTGATTAAAATTATTTTTTCAAAAAAATTATTGAGAATTGACAGTACAGATATGTGTAAAATTAGCGGGGTCCAATGTATTACCAGATTTAAATAAAGTTATTACTTAACTACGTTTTATTTAATCAGAAAACACACCATATTTGGTACTAGTATTAAAAATATTAGAAAGATGAGGTGCAATTAAACCTATTATGGACGCAATAACTGTAACGGAAACTGTTCTTTTCTTTACATCAATGGTTTTGAAAATTCTAAACTCTTTTAAACAGGTATTAACATTCACCTTCCTTTCATGGTCACTAATGATTGACTACTATCTACCCAATGAAATCATCCACAACTTTTTTTGACACCAGAGCGGCGTCACTTTGACATAAGATGACTTTTCAATGATGATGATACTGTGTGACAAATAACTTCCCCTCAGTCGAAACTAGCGGCATTGGTGAGCGTAAAATTATTAGCCCTCATTGCAGTGTCAGCATTTTTTATAGGATAAGTGTGACAAACGAGCCCATAGTCCACCTGATGGTAAGTGAATGTAGTGGCCCGTAGACATCTAAATTTATACAAATGTACTCGTATACTGTATCTTCAATTAAGAATCAAACTGCAGATACGTTGTCACCCCTGAGGTCTGAGACGGAATGTCCATTTCCAGTAAAAAGAGTCTCCGGTCTCCTGTACTCACCATACAAAATACAGCAGTTTTAAGCTGCAATATTACGCTGGTAGTCTGTGAGAGCGTGGTCTTACCACGGTCAACCCATTCGTGCTACAACTATAATATAACTGCAGTGTGGCTCTACCACGTATAAAATGAGCTGTATTATCGTCATCATCATCATTACAGCTCTTCAAAAGTCCACTGCTGAACATAGGACTCCCCTAAGGAACACCACAAATTATGGTCCTGAGCCACCTGCATCCATCGACTTCCTGCATGTCTTACCAGATTCGTCACTCTATCCAGTGGGGGGCCGCCTTTTGCCTACCGGTACGAGGCTGCCACTCGAAAACCTTTCTTCCCATCGGTTGTCAGTTCTACGAGCTACATGGCCGGCCCATTGCCACTTCAGCTTACTAATCCATTGGGCTATATCGGTTACTATGGTTCTACTGCGGATATCATCAGTTGTAAATTTATCACGCAGAGAGACTCCGAGCATAGTACGTTCCATAGCTCGCTGAGCGAACTTGAGCTTCCTCCGTATAATTATAAAACATTGAAAATGGGCCGTTAATGCAATGTAATAAAAGCGGTTATCATAATTATCACCTGCATTGCAATGTCAGTAATTGAAAATGAACCTTAAATATACCGTAATAAAAGCGGTCATGGTACCTGGGTGGTGCGCGAGGCGGCGGGCGCGGCGCGTAGAGTCCGAGGCCGCCGGGCGGCGAGCCGCCACCGCCGCCCGCCAGCACGGCGCCGCCGCCCAGCCCGCCGTAGCTGAACACCTGCACACACACACCAGATATTGCCGTGTTACTTTTGCACCAACGATCCGATTCACAAAAAAAAATTACGTTTATATGCACAATTAAGTTTTCGTTAGTCTTTTTCTAATACAGACGGAAAAACGGTAGGATTTTTTATACTTAGAATAAAGGTGACAAACGAGCACACAGGAGGACCTACCCGCCAGGAGACTGAACCGCTGTCTTGAAGGATTGACGCTGGAATTTTTTTTAATTCTTATTTATTTATTACAAGATCCACAGCCCTAATTACAATGTAAATGAACTTAAGAAATAAACTTACAGCTAATAACGAATCTACTTTATACATTTTTTAACTTAAATTAATCGCCCGACAATCGATAAGTTTGAGCCACAAAACCATAAAATTTTAGAATTAACAATTAAAAGCAGTGCGTCTATCTTTAATTTATTTAATTTAACTCTTTTGCTGTCCCGTGCACTACATATAGGTCATTGCTATTGTCTTACTATTGTGTCTACAAACCGGACAGTGAAAGTGTTAAATTAAGGACATCATGTAAGATGTACTACGATTTCGATCAGGGGATCAACTTTTATAGAATAAAGGTGACAAACGAGTACACAGTCCACCCTACCCGCCAGAAGACTCTGAACCGCTGTCTCGAAGGATTGACGCTGGAATTTAATTTAAATTATGGACATCATGTAAGATGTACTACGATTTCGATCAGGGGATCAACTTTTATAGAATAAAGGTGACAAACGAGTACACAGTCCACCCTACCCGCCAGAAGACTCTGAACCGCTGTCTCGAAGGATTGACGCTAGAATTTAATTTGAATTATGGACATCATGTAAGATGTACTACGATTTCGATCAGGGGATCAACTTTTATAGAATAAAGGTGACAAACGAGTATACAGTCCACCCTACCTGCCAGAAGACTCTGAACCGCTGTCTCGAAGGATTGACGCCCGAATTTAATTTAAATTATGGATATCATGTAAGATGTACTACTATTTCGATCAGGGGATTAACTTTTATAGAATAAGGGTGACAAACGAACACACAGTCCGCCAATCGACCACCACATGATACTCCATTCAAGCCACAAATTGTGACGTTTATGGACTGAATGCAGTGTCAGTAAGAGTAGCACAAAGTTGTTTCAAGAGTTTTGAGTCCGTGCATTTTGATGTCAAAGATGCAGCTCGTTCCCTCATACGGATAAAGTCGATGCCATTTTGTAATAATTAATAATTAAAAATTTTGTACAACCGACTTCAATATAAATTGTTAAGAATAACTCAATAACTATTGGTCAGACCTTGATCAATATCTGAACAATATTTTTTGAGTAGAATAACATAAGAAGCACAAGGGTAACACACATAAAAAAACATACAGTCGAACTGAATGTTTTTTGTTTTTTGAACAAAAGTCGGTAGAACAGAGGAGCAAGATCGGCATATTAGTAATTACGATATAGCCGAGGAATTGAAAATTGACCGCAATATATATATATATATATATATATATATATATATATATTATAGGTCTCCCGTCAGCCTTGAAAGCCTATATCTCACAACTTTATCACTGGTCTGCACATATCGACATATCTGATGGTATAGGGAGAGACCTGGTTCTTGGCAATACCTCCCCTACCCCTAAATATGTTGGCAAATTTCACATGTCTTTGAAATATTTTAAAGGTTAATCGGTCGACTTATATCATGAAAGTCGATAGATTATTATAATTAAATTAAAAAATAAAGTACTAAATATCACGGTCAATAAAGCAAGTCGCATAGAATTAGGTCAATCGACTAGTGTCTACAGCAAAAAAACGATACAAAGCTCTGGATCATTAGTGTTCCTGTTTTTTTTTTACACAAAGTGTTAATTTCACAGACCTAATTTCGGTCACGGCGACAAGTCTCAACGGAAATGGCTAGGAAGTTTTTAAACAAATTATTAATAGGGATATTTTTATTACTTGAATGGCAAAAGTACACCTATAAGAGTCCATTACCAAAGAAAAAAACTATGCTGCAGTTTCGTGTAGGTTACCTGCTGCGGTTGCGCGTGGAAGTGGTTGAAGTGCGTTAGCGGTGGATGGCAGTCGCGGTAGTGCGGCGATCGGCGGCGCGGCGATGCGCCCGGCGACCGACCTTCGGGGGATGCCGGCGAACTTCCCCCCGCACCACCACCTCCACCCGTGCCCACCGACCCCGCCTCGCTCGCTGAAAAACATCATTGGACATTCATTCGTTATTTATTTATTTTATTTATTTATTCCTTTTTTACATCTACCTTATAATAGGGGATATAAAGGGCGGACTTAATGCCTAGTGGCATTCTCTACCAGTCAACCCTGGATGATTTGAGAAGCTGTGGTAGGTGCAACACCACTCCATAAATTAATAAATAAGTAAAAACATTATATCTTATAACAAAAAGCAAATAAATAAAATATTTTTAAACTATACAAACTTAATATTATCTACTTTGTAATAAAGAAAAAAAATTAATAGTAAATATATAAACGGATATAATATACTTATATATACAAAATCTCTAAATAAATATAAAATAATATAACACAAAAATAAAATAACATGATGCCTATTAAAATACATATTATACAAAATATCAATTACAAAGCGAAAGAGGGAGAAAAACAAAAATCGGATAAATCAGGTGGTATTATTCCTATTAAAGAATTCTCGAACTAGTCTTTTAAAATATGGTTTGTTACTGGTTTTTTTGATATGAACAGGCAAGGCATTCCAGAGCAGTATGGACTGCACAGTAAAAGAGGAATTAAAGAAACCACTCTTATGTGGTGGAATACAAATTTTAAGACTATTTTGGGAACAGGGAACTCTATCATGAGTAGAATATTGGTACTGAAAGTTATCCTTAAGATAATAAGGAGAATTTGGGTAATTTAAAATTGAATATAGTACCTGTAAAATTCGGCACCTACGCCTTTGACGAATAGAAAGCCATTTAAGCTTAGAACGGTACTGAGAAACATGGTCATACTTACGTAAGCCGAAAATGAACCTAATGCAATTGTTGAGAAGGCGCTCCAACTTATCGAGAAGATATTGAGATAGATCTGGGTAACACACATCCGCATAATCAATAATGGGTAATATCAAAGTCTGGACTAGTAGAAGTTTAGTTTTAAAAGGCAGAAAGTTTTTGAGACGGCAAAGAGAACGTAAGGTGGCAGTAACTTTACGGCTTATTTCAGCAACTTGAACTCCCTAGCTTAAGGTATGGTCTATATGTAAGCCAAGATTTTTAACAGATTTATAAAATAGCAGCAATGTTCCATTGTAAAATACGGGAGAAATCCATTACCTTACATTTGGAAGGGTTAACCGAAACACCATGTCTCTACGACCAATCTCTTATGGCATCAAGGTTGTTGGTGATTTTGTTAATATTATGGTTAAGGTCATTAACACTAGATTGCACATAGAGCTGAAGATCATCTGCATACAGATGGTACGAACAGTTGAGAACTGAAGTAATAGAATTTATAAATAGAGAAAACATTATAGGAGAAAGTATTCCGCCTTGCGGCACGCCTGTTTCAATGTCAGCCCATGTTGAAGACTGTTGTCCTAATCGAACTGATTGCTGGCGGCCGCGAAGATAGGATGAAAACCATTCCAAAGCTGGGATTGAGAATCTAAGATTAGCTAGGAAGGCTATAAGGATATCGTGGTCGACTGTGTTAAAAACATTTGAAAAATCAACAAGCACTACCACTGTAAGCTTCTGCTCATCCATTCCCATTCGAATGTCATCTGTGACTTTTATCAAGGCAGTGGTAGTACTGCGCGAAAGCCTGACTGATATTTATGAACATAGAGATTTGCTTGTGAACACAGGCTTCCAGAACTTTAGATAGGTACGGAAAAATTGAAATTGGTCTAAAATGGGTAGGTAATAAGGGATTAGGTATTTTAGGACGTGGTCGCACAAATGCTTTTTTCCACTGAGTAGGATATTGGCCTGAGTCGAGGGAAAACTTTACAATGTGTGTGATTGCAGGCAAAAGGCACTCAAGGATCATGGATATCATAACCATACTAACCTCATCGCAACCCACAGCCTTGGATTTAATAGCTAATACTGATTTCTGGATCTCATCCTCAGTCACAGGTAAAAAGTGAAAAAACGGAATAGGAGGAGAAGGCATGGATAGAATGGAAGCTATTGTTGTAGAACGAACTGTGGGATCCAAAGGAGAAGTAGAGATAAAATGATGATTTATTTCATCCAGAGTGATTGATGGACCATGATCAGATGTAACAGCCTTACTTTACTACGTTAATTACAGTTTACCAAAAGTCCACTGCTAAACTAAGCCTACAGTTTTTTTATTTATTTCTTTATGTACACACAACAAGATACAGAAACAGTCTTATAGTGAGTTTGTACAAAGGTTCTACTCGTACTTATTCTATAATTTGCTGAAATATCTTCCAGTAGACCGACAGAGGAAATATATTAAAAAGGCGTGTACGTATTTTTACGTGGTAGAGCCATGCTGCAGCTATATTAATAGTATATTTGTAGCACCAATGGGTTGTCTCGATCGGGGAAGAACCACGCTCCCACAGAATGCCGGCGTAAAATAGCAGCTTAATGCTGCTGTGTTTCGTATGGTGAGTGTAGAGAAAATTCTATCTTAGTCCTCACGGCTGACAACGCATCTGCATTTTAATTCGCAAACGAAGATAGATGTAGATGTCTATGGGCCACAACAACCACTTACCATCAGGTGGACTGTGTACTCGTTTGTCACCCTTATTCTATAAAAAAAAGGGCAAACTTAGTGTATACAATACTACTACTCCATACCTCGTCATACCTCAGTAGTTGTTGCCACACTTTATAAGCGGGTTAGAAACCACATTTTTTATAATATTGAACTGTTATCAGATGGCTGCTGTCTGTCTTGTGTTTCATTACCCTCTGTCGTCTCTTACTCTTACGTCGTGTCACACCCACGGTATGATAAGGCAGTTGACTCTCTTACTCCGCCATGGCACGGCAAACTTGCTACATACGAATTAAACCGCAATCTGCCTCAATACATTTTTAAACATTCGTTTCAATATTTAAGCAATATAACAAAGTCTATGTCACTAAACTTAAATTTCAAAAGCTAACGAAAAGAGCTTACCTGTTGATCTAATGATGGCCACAGGCCTGGCCATGGGTGGTAAAGGAGGTGGCGGAAGCATAGAATTTGTGAAATACGCCGGTTTCGGGCTCCGAGAAAGACCGTGCACCTGAAAATCAAAGAGATTGGAAAAAACATCAATTACGATCTCATTTTATGATTGATCATCACAGAGATTCTAGATAAGAAAAACAACAAAAATCAACAGGTTCAGCGGTAAATATCTTGTTCTTTTCTGCCGACTTCAAATAGAAGACGGTACTCAATTCGACTGTATGTTTTTTTATGTGTGTTACCTCATAAATTTTACTGCGTGAACCAATTTCGATGATTCTTTATTTCATTTGAAAAATGGTACTTCACATGTGGTCCCGTATGAATTTTATCAAGGTCAGACCAATAGTTATTGAGTTATTCTTAATAATTTATATTGAAGTTGGCTGTACAAAATTTTTAATTGTAAATTATTAAATAAATTACACATAGAATCAACAAGTGCTAAATAATTATGGTGATAAGTCTAATATTATTTCTACAAATAACAATCAAATTTTAAAATCAGTCTTTAAACGTCAAGGTAACGTAGTAGAGCCATGTCTCTACCACGTTATCTTGACGCTGCAGCTATAGTATGGTTTCAGCTCGACCGGAACCTCTAAGACAACACAAGCGTAAGATAGCAGCTTAATGCTGCCCAGTTTTGTATGGTGAGTGCAGTGAACCGGTAACCTTTTTTACTGATAACGAGGCATTCTATTTTAGTCTTATTAACGTAGAGGACTACGTGCCACAGCATTCACTTACCATCAGATGGACTATTTATTAATTAATTTATTTATTTAATAACTTAAATGTAACACCTTAATGTAAAGGGTACATAGGGCGGACTTAATGCCATATGGCATTCTCTGCCAGTTAACCCTTGGTGCCAAAGCCAATTGTAGGCAGGTGCGAAACATAATACATAAATAAAGTGTATTTATATTAAAATATAATAATACATAGTACTACATACACAACATATATTTAAATATATATAACATATATTTACATACAATAATATATACATACACATATTTTATGTGTATACATGCTTACAAACTTTATAAATGTACGAATGTATTAATGTATAAATAAATAAATATTTGAAGAAAAAAAATGTCAGTTAGCAAGTGCCCTCAGGTAATGTTGTCGTAGAAGTAATTTAAATGAGTTTCTATTTGTAGCATTCCTAATATCATCGTGGAGGGTGTTCCAAACATGTATAGCTTGTATCCTAAACGAGGACCTGAAAAAATTATAAATATGCTGTGGAAACCTTATCCTCAGACGGTTTGATTGTCGTGGTATTCGACCGTCAATCGAATGAAGAAAATGAAAGTTATCCTTAAAATAAGAAGGCGACCTTGGATCGTTTAAAATTGAATAAAGTAGGTACAAGTAATATTCTAGAGCATCGCCTTTGACGTATAGGTAGCCATTTAAGCTTTGAACAATAGGAACATATGTGGTCACACTTACGTAAACCGAAAATAAACCTTATGGAATTATTAAGAAGGCCCTCCAACTTGTTTAAAATATTTTGTGACAAATCTGGGTAACATTCATCTGCATAATCTATAATAGGTAGAATGAGGGAATGAACAAGCATAAGCTTGGTTTTGAAAGGTAGAAAATTTTTAAGACGATAAAGGGAACGCAAGGTGGCAACAACTTTGCGACTTACTTCAGAGATCTGCAATTTCCAGGTCATAGTTCTGTCCATATACAGGACAAGATTTTTTATGGAATCAAAGTTCCATTATAAATTACAGGAGAGAGATTTCCATAATCAATCTTAGCCAATAATTGTGAACTTACGAAGATTATAACTTTGCATTTGGCTGGATTAACTGTAACGCCATATTTACACGACCATTCTCTTATGGCTTCCAGGTTATTATTTAGTTTATGTACTACAATGTTAAGGTTATTTAAGTCTGACTGCACATAAAGCTGAAGATCATGCGCACAGATGGCACGAACAATCTACAACTGAGGAGATGGAGTTTATATATAAGGAAAACATAATAGGAGAAAGTATTCCGCCTTGCGGCACACCAGATTCAATTTCAGCCCATGCAGAAAAACGCTGACCTGAACGAACCGATTGCTGGCGGCCGCGAATATAAGAAAAGAACCACTCCAAGGCTGAGGATGAAAATTTAAAGTGTTTGAGGATAGATAGGAGGATACCATGATCTACCGTGTTGAAAGCGTTTGAAAAGTCAATAAGCGCTACCACTGTTAGTTTCTGCTCATCCGAGCATTTTCTTATATCGTCTGTGACTTTGATAAGCGAAGTGGTAGTGCTGTGACCAGATCGAAACCCCGATTGAAATTCATTCAGTAGGTTATGTTTTGCAATGAACATAGAACATATTATATTTGCAATGACTATGTTATTCTAAAGGTCAAAGAGCTTCTAATGACAAAATCGACAACGAGCCAACACTGCTATATAGGTATCATTTGAGCAACGCGTTCTCGAATGTACCTCTCTCGCCACACGGGAACTGGTGGCGCTAAAAATTTATACTCAAAACAGGCCGGTACACAGTTTTGACATACGCATGCAAATTCTATAATGCGATCAATTAATACATAAGTGTATTATTATCCACACTCGGTACTATCAGTTTCATTTATTATCATACCATTTACGATTCATAGCATTTAGCAATAATTGTACTTATTAAAGTGTTAGGGAAAATCATACGTTGTTGGTCCTTTGAGCCGGATTTTAATTCGATGGATAACACTTATTTTCATTGATTGTCGTTTACTTTAAAAAAGTATCTGTATACCTATCTCTTTCTTTATAGTAATTTAGTGAAGCAAAAAAGAGCACTTTTAAGTATTTCTTAAATTTTATGGCTTCAATAAGTAAGGCCGTTTGCATATACGAGTACACTTAAATAGTGTTTTTGCAATCAATTATTCCTTGTATCTTTACCCCTGTTTATTATGTTTAACTTTAGATACTACAAACCTGTATTTGCTGGACATCTGTAGGCGGCTCTTGACACACGAAGGTCACGAAGTCCCCAAGAGAGTCCTGAGGAGCGCCATCGTATTTCCCACTAGAATGTTGATTCGACAGCTCTGACGCTATAAATAAATATTTCAATTATTTTAAGCACATGCAACGTCATAATCTTCATCACCAGTTAAAGTTCATTGAATATTCATAAGAATCTATCTGATGAATAGAATATTACTAGTCCTCATTGTCATGCTTGGCAGGCGTATTGTCGGTAGTAGTACCAAATGTGAACACCTTTGACACTGCCGCTCGTCGCTGTTCTGCGTATTTCGCGTCAGGCGTAAACGAAATGGTTATACCGTCATTGATCGGAAGATATATTTTTCTACAATACCCATAGTTGCCATTTACGACAACCACGGGGCAAAATGGGGTGATAGATTCTTTATTGCTAGCACCTCACTGCATTATTGTAATAAATAAGTACCCATCAATCACCCCTTTTCGTACACTGGGTATTATAAAAGGCGATTATAGGAAAGATCAGAAAAGCATCGTGGCTTCCCATAGTTGACGGTACACTACCATGTATTTTGACTGATGGAAATTACTGAAACCGCTGACGGTAAGACTTGTCTAGGTTTTCTTGTAAATTAAGGGTGACAAACGAGCTTACACTCAACCTGATGATAAGTAGATGCTCAGGTACATAGACATCTACATATTATAACCTCGATTAAGAGTCAAGTAAGATGGAATGCCTCGTTACTAGTAAAAAGGGTATCCGGATCTCTATACTCGCCATACGAAACACAGAGCACCATTAAGCTGCCATTTGACGGTGGTATTCTGTGAGAGTGTGGTCTTTCCCAGGGTCGAGGTGACCCATTTGCGCTACAACCATAATATAGCTGCAGGCAGAATGTCTCTACTACGTAAAATGTACGTCACGTCACGTGACGACATGTCAAGACATCTGATACTGGAATCGTTCATCCGCCGTCAGATTTGGTGTCTGAAGCAAATAGAGGCCTTTGTCCAGCCAAAAAGGTAAAGCTAATATATTATGTAGTTACTGAGGTGTTAAGGGCTCAGTGCTCTCTAAGTATACCAATGTAAAATAGCAGCATATTGCTGCAGTGTTTCGTAAAGTTAGTATAGAGAATTTGAAATTCTTTTTACTGGTAACAAGGCATTACATCTTAGTCAACGCGACAACGCGTTTGCATCTTATATTTTAACCGAGGATTTATGTAAATGTATATTGACCACAGCACTTAGTTACCATTAGGACGGTGTGCTCATTTGTCACTTATACTTCTATAAAAAGAGGGGATGTGTTTCAATAATGTCACAGTAAGAAAAATACATTTTTATGAGTTTTCAGCAAAGACATCTATGTATACTACAAGTCAATTCTCCGTAACTCCTTCAGTCGACTACAAGCGGCCGAGAAGGCTAGTTCTACGTTTTGTAAACTGCACTAGTTGTTTTAGATAATCTAACCCCGATTTTGTTTAATGTGACTAAGAAAAAGCTGTCACTATTTATGTAAGCACTTCGTCAACATTATTTGAACTTTATTTCAGACTAGCTGTATCCCGCGACTTCACCCGCCTGGTATTGATTTCATGGGTTTCAACTGTTTTGCATGGAACCCTAGATTTTTTTCTAAAATAAAAGTAGCCAAAGTTACTCCTTATAACATTAGCTATCTACCAGTGAAAGTACCGTCAAAATCGGTCCAGCCGTTTCGGAGATTATCCGGAACAAACAGACAGACAAAAAATTTTAAAAATGATTTTTGTTATAAGTATAAGTTCATATGCATTTAATAAAAAGCTATTATTTTAACATTACAAACAGACACTTCAATTTTATTTATTTGTATAAATATATATGTATGTAACTTTATTTCGTATTTGCCTGAAACAGTAATTGTCGTAAATAAAAATACAACTGCGTGGCATATCTACCGTGCCAGTGCCACAATGTGGCACATTTTTGGTTCTCAATTGCTGGTCTAGTAGTATACATAGATCTTTCTTTCTTTCTTTCTTATTTGGTGTTAAGTTACCAGTAGGGTGAGTGTCGGTGGGCGGCGGCGCGTGCTGGTAGAAGATGGTGTTGGAGGGCACGAGCGGGGACTGCGCACTCAGCCCCGCCGAGCTGTGCGGGATGCCTGTGCACGGGAAACCTTAATAAATTATTTTCCTTCACACTCTAAGCTACACTATGTTGATATCGTATAGCAGCATAAATCACAACATCTCATCCTATGGATACTCTAATAGGAAACTTGCCAGAGGGCGTCTCTTAGATCGTCATAGAGATAAGACCTAAAACAATTTCTAATCTAAACTTTTTCGTGCGAGATTCAAACCCTCTACCCGAGAATGCGGTAACCAAACGCTTAGCCACTATGTTACTGAGGCTTTAAATAAGGTATGTAGGCTCAAATAGTCTTACTTCTGGTATAAACACAATTTATACATTTATATATCCAAATAGACGTCTCTGATGATAATAGATGAAATAGGACGGTTTATTCTCTTACGTCACGTATTCCCTTACGTGATACACGTAATCACATAGCAATAAGCTACGTTGTAGTACAGTTTTCTCTACAATTAATGTTAAAAATTCAAATATTCGTAAATATTTTCATAATCAACGATTACATAATAAATTAGCGTTTAAAATTGGAATTAACCATTTTATTCGTATTGACGAGGCTTAAACTTGGATTGCTCGTGACATATGAAATTAAAGGCGCTTAATTCTTTAGCTGCCGCGATAAAATATAATTAAATTTTAGGAAACAATATTTCTATTTCAATATACAGAACTTTTTAACTTTAACAATCGTTATTCCCTTCACATTACTATTCAATCTCAACAAGTATTATCAACTATTAAAGGATAAGAAGTCTTGTTGAAAGTATCGAAGTATCTAAATTAGGGCGTCTACACACTGGGAGTGCTAATTTTAACGATCTATATATAGTATTGGAGTGGTGTCGCACGATACGGTCAATGTGCTGCTGAATACTAATGCTTCTTTTGTTTTATTCAGCTTTATAAGACTACAATGTGTCGTTGACACTTGTATACGTAATTAATGACACTAGAATGGCGTCTGGGCGAAATGCGATAATTTATATTACTAAAGAATGTCGTAAGTATAGAAAAATCATTTGTGTAAGTTTATTACTGTTATTTGTATATACTCTCTATATACTCTACTAGCTAGTAACCGGCGAGTTGCAGCCGCAGGAGAAATAATTGCGGAAATATCGATTTAAATTTGGAAGGATTATATTGTTTAATTGGTAATAATACATTCATTGCAGCGCCACCTACTGTAAGTTAATTGTACTATGCCTATAAACTTCGCGGAAGTGTATGCAATATGTTGGCAAAGTTTTACCGCAATCTGATGAACGGTATGCATGAAATACGAACAAACATTTTTTTTTTTATTATTAGATAACGGCAGTATACTCAAGTAAGTTTTTTCTCAAGTAACCCACAGGATAATATGGGGTAGTGGATATTCTTACCACGCAACTGCACGGCAAAGACGGTTTAAGAGATAAGATAAGATGATTTATTTGTTAGAATATGGTACATTGAAGTTGTTACAGAATAATTAAGATCCTAAATATCTGCAGTTTCCTGCGTACAAATATTTTCAGACAGATGTTAGAATTTAATGGAGAACCAAGACATGAATTAGTATATATGTAATATAAATGTAACTTACTGAAACATTGTCCGACAAGCATGGTGGACGGTGTCGCTCGCTCGGCGGGCGGCTCGAAGGTGGGCGGCGCCGGACTGTTGTATCCGCAGTAGTAACTCGACTCCAGTTTTATGCCGCCCGACCCGCCAGGAGACTCTGAACCGGTCTCTTGGAGAATTGACGCTGAAATTTTATTTCAGTTATGGACACCATGTAAGATGTACTAAGATGTACTACTCTTTTGATTAGGGGGACATTTTTTAAAATAATAGGAGTTACAAACGGGCACACAGTAATAGTAAGTAGGTGCTGTGGCTCATAAACATCTACATTAATCCTCGATTAAGAATTGTCACCCTGAGGATTCATAGGGAGGAATCACTCCGTCTTAGTCCTCAGGGATGACAACGCATCTACAATTTGATTCTTAATCGAAAATAGACGTAGGTATCTATGAGATATAGCATTTAAACGCTTGTTTGTCACCCTTATTTTATAAAAAAATTAACAATAGCTGAATTGATGCAAATTTTAATCTCTCGCCACTGGATATCTGATGATATCAGACATATATTATTTAAAATAAATTTATGAAATGCTGTAACAATCCTTTTACTTTCAAAACTGCTTTCACATGGAGCTCTTCCTAGAGAAATTTTATGATGGTCGTTCGAAATGAATATGATGATGTGTTGTGATGTACATTTTTCTGCCGACTTCAAAAAGGAGACTGTATTCAATTCGACTGTATGTTTTTTTAATGTTTTTTACCTCATAACTTTTTACTGGATGAACCGATTTCGATGATTCTTTTTTATTTGAAAGCTGGTGCTTCACACGTGGTTTCATATGAATTTGATCAAAGTCCGATTAATAGTTTAAGAGTTATTCTTAAAAATTTATATTGAAGTCGGTTGTACAAAATTTTCAATTAATTTTCAATTATGGCTTAACCTTAATGGCCTTACAGTTACGCTCGTTGGTGTAGTAATCGAGGGCGCTACTGTTGATTAAGGTCCCGGGTTCGAGTCTCGGGTTGGGTCAAAATCAGTTATTAGCTTTTTCTGCCGAGAAATTCTCAGTAGCAACCCGCAGTCAGAATGTTGGCGGTGTTTCACCCCTGTGACTCGGAAAGTATTGATTCTGCGCCTTATTTGTCTCCGTTCGTGTCGTATTGCTGTCCCGTCCCGCTGGACTACGAAAATCAGGGAATGGGGAGTGCACCTGTGTTTGCGCATACATTAGGGCAATATAACCCTGTCCTGCGCAAATGTCTAGTCTCCGTTGAGACTAGCCGTCGTGACCCAAATCCGGTCTGTAATATATTATTTTTACTGTTATGATACAAAGTTATATATAAATTAAATGTTATATAACAAAAAATAAAACAGGTTAATATAGTTAAACATAAACATACCTTTACTCAACTTCCATAGTTCCTTCGAGGAGAAGACACCGGTTGCTAGAATAATATCGTTGCAAATGACACCGTTGTAGGGATTGTGGGTATAGCCTGCAACCCAGCACTTCGCATTATTTTTACGAAAATTTTTGCTCCAAAACGTCGTCTCGATAAAAAAACTATGGAGGTGGGGTCACAACAGCTATATTTAAAAATATTTACTTGTTGTAAACAATTTTAGGTTTTCTGATTAATAAAATATCTGTAGATGCAATGAAAGAGGTTTTACAACAAGTAAATATTATTATAATAATATATATTTGTGCAACTATCAACGACATTTCACACAATTGAAAAATTGAGTATTTTAAGTTCTTACTTGGATGGCTTATGAGTCAGAGCCATTCAAATAAGAACGCAAATTATAAAAAGTATTTTAACTTTGAAATTCGAATTTGAACTTTGAATTTCAAAGTTGGAAGGCACGAAGCCTGTTTAATGACTCGAAAGATAAAAATTCAAAATAAATCTACATCTATTCAGACAATATTCATTAGTTATTATCTAAACATCAAGTTTACCAAGAAAGTCTACTGGGGTTTTAGAGGAACACACAAGCCAAGAGAAGTATTTATAACTAAACCAACAAACAATATCAGAAGAGAAAATGTTGTCAGCGTACTTCTCATAATTACCTTACAACGAAGTTTAAGAACGATACTGAAACTCAAATTTGAAGAGAGTTTGAAAATATTTAAAATTTCACTAAGTTGTCGAAAAAAGTAATTGTTGAAAAATTGAAAAAGAAAAGGTAAAAAATATTGAGAAGAGCACTGACAAAGGTAAAGATAAAAAGAGTGAAAGAGAAGGAACACCGACTACTTATACTAATTCGAAAAACAACGACCAACGACAATACGATCATCTCCTTTTTTAACAACAAAAGCATGACGGGTGAGTGCAAGCCAATGCTGGGATTAGATATATGTCAAAATTTTCCAAAAAAAAAATGCAGGTTTCGATATAAAACTATAGTGTGAAAGTCACAACAAAATTTTGTGCAAAACTCCAATCAAAGTAAGTTCTCTCTGTGATGTCGAACTTGTGGCTAGGAACGTTCCATGTTCATAGATAAAAAAAGAAATAAAATATATCGGCGACTATTCTGCAATTGTTAATGTAACACATGTATTCTTTAAGATATTTTTGGAGAGTGTGCTCAGGAATTGCACACTTAATATGTTGTTAATCTCTCTTCCTTCCACCATGGGACAACAAAGAGCTCGGCCAGGAGTGGAGTAATTTACCATGTGTGTGCGATTACAATCTGGATGACGAATGCGCTTTTGTTAAACTAAGCCAGTGCGTTCACTATCTCCAGCTACATAACTACTTATCATAGCGCGCCAGCGCCCGAAATATTGAAAATCAAAATTAAATTAAGATTAAATACGATAAAATCAGTAAATTCAATGTTTATACACTGACTACTTTATCTCACCACCTCATAGGTTGAATGGCAGAGAATTAGATTTTTTTTTAAGTGAAAAGTTTCTTTAGAATCGTTTTGATTTCTAACTCGATGAAACGAAAAAGCGACACTAAAAAGAGACAAACATATACATCTATAGGAATTAGCCTGCGAGATAATGAGATAGATATAAAATTATTCGTATTTAGGCCATCTAACGTCTATTTAATGTTCACCTTGAGAGTCTAACAATTTTTGTTCGATAAAATGAGTTTACTATAGGTAAAGTCATTATATATAAATTATGTAGATGGCGCTATTACAAAGTAGTTTTACACGAAAGAAAATATTCTTTTGATTTATTTCACTAAAATTTACTCCAAAAGTAAAGATTGTAACATTTATTTGCTATAAAATTAAACTTTTATGCCGCACTTGTGGTTGAAAATTTTCATATTAAAAAAATAATTTGACGTGAAATATTTTTAATTATTTCATTGCATTTGAAGGTTTAACTTCTACTGCGTTTGAACTGCGCACATGGTTTTTTTAAACGATGCTAAATATACACGAATATTAAATTAAGTTACGGTAACTAAAAGAAACCCAACATACGAGTATACCCTGTTTGTAGAATTAAAAAGTACGTGTGTTTACGCACATGGAACTATACCATAAGACAGTTATCTTTGCTCTAAGGTTATATTGGATTAAAGGACCACATCCCAAATAATGTGTAAGTTGTTAAAAATAACGTTCATAGCCACAGATCTACAGAGAGAACCTCACGAGCACGTCACGACACCAACACGGGTCCGTCAGACGCTGTTACCTTTGCTTTTAGCGTCGTGTTCATTCTCTTTGTCCCTAGGAGGGTGGGGCGACAGAGAACCGCTTAGGATATCTGAAAGCACACCGGGTTATCTATACTGTCCATTAAGCACAGAAGAATCAAAGAACTGCTTTTTGTGTGCCCTTAACACATCACACCAAAAAAATCACACATACAAGGATCTTTTTATTTTCAACACTTTTCTGCTACGGTCAAGTATTACAAATGAAAAAGTTTTATAAATGCATCGAATTTTGAAATCATTTATCGGCCCAGTTACCTTATATATTTTAAATTTTATGCTTAATATTTTTTATATGATGAATATATAAAAATTTTGCACCTCAATTTTCAGTCATTCCTCTAATTTTTATTACTAAATTAAAAAAGAAGAACTTGAATGTGACATATAAAATATGAAATAAGTCAAAATTCTGTCATATATTACAAAATAAATATGCCAATGGTTGATAAAAAAACTATTTAGATCTTTCTTTCGCATTAACTGCTTATTAAATTAATATTAATCTTAGAACCAGCAAAAGAGGAATTAATCAATATACCGATTTAATGTTCTTTCTCCTTTTTTACTAAAAATTCCTTCTATCAAGATGTTATGAGAATGATCCTTCTGTTTAGTTAAGAAAAGTTTAATGTCAGATTGAAAGATTTCAATGAATTACCTACCTAATCATCCACATCTCCTCCTTAATTAATTTTTAAAAACATTCATCAAAAAGCCATTACAAATTAATTAGGTACTTAGCAACAAAGAAATGTTAGTTTCTGGAAAACAAGAACAACTTAAAAAAAACGTGCATTTGATACAGTTTACTTTGTGAATTCTAAAAGTACTTTTAAAAAAATATATAATTTTTGTTAAGGAGTGAGCACCAATATTTTTTGAAAAAATATTATATCCACATTGCAAATACAATTTGATTATCAAGGTATTATATAGACTTTAATAATTCACCTCCGCGCTATATAAATTTACTACAACAAGCGAGAGACTCGAAAACAGGTAATAACCTTTTAATTGAAATTTCAATTGTATAACTAATTATTCTTAGTTAAGTCCTGACACAATACAATAAAAATCAACCGCGTTTCGTACTCGAAATTTCATATTGAACACTAGCAAACAATTAATTATTTTAACACATTTTTATTAGCTTCGCGTATATATATCTATCTACGAAACATTCATAGATAGATAGTATATATCTATTTATGAAACAGAACATTTTAATGTAATTTTCACCAATTTGTATACGGCCGATTAACTTGATTTGCACTCGTATCATGGACCGATAACAATATAATAATTTAATAAATTTATCCTAGTATCCTCATCAGTATCACCAGGATATTTTTTTTAAATATTATGATCTAGTATTCTCACTAGGATAATTACAGCCAATGATCAATGCGTGTTGTTTAATTTTTTTAAACTAATATTATTATATTTATTTATATTTTATATTTCATTTACAATTCCAATTGTATCACACGCTCACTCCCTAACCGCGAAACCCAAAATCAAGCAAAGCCGTCAACAATAGCTGAGCGATAGACCTGGCAGACCGTCGCTCCCATTACCATAGCTGTTGATGAAATTGGCGAGGTACAGGTCCAGTTCGCGCACGGATACGTTGATGTGGTACGGGTTCACGCACAGGCCCGGCTGGGTGCACTCTGGGTGTTTCTCGAGTCGTTCACCGTCCGTGCTTTCTAGCGGTATCGCTTTGAACAGTATCACCATTACCAGGTCTAGCCGCCACACCTGTAACATATAAATATATTTTAAGCAATAAAATTTTAATTTAGTTCGTGAAGAGTATTCATTCAACATATCCATTATCCGTTCCAGCCATTAAAAAAGTTTTTTTTTATAGGATTAGGGTGACAAACGAGCACACAGTCCACCTGATGGTAAGTGGTTGCTGCGGCCCATAGACATCTACATCTATCCTCTGTTACAAATCAAAATGTAGATGCGTTGTCACCCGTGAGGACTAAGATGGAATGCCTCATTTCCAGTAAAAAGGGCCTCCGGCCACTGCACTCACCAAGCGAAACGCAGAGGTAAACCTCTACTTCACGCTGGTTTTCTGTGAGGTCGTGGTACTACCCCGGTTCGAGCCGGCCCATCCGTGCGACAGCAAAAGCTGCCGCGTGGCACTACCACTGTTAAAAAATTCAAAACAACAATCAACAAATTCTTTGGGGGTATTATGAATTTTGAATTCACCGTTTATACCTTGAACTACCACCCTAAAATCAATTGTGCTAGTGTTTTTTTATAGCATGAGGGTGATAAACGGTCACAAATTCCACCTGATGGTAAATGGATACTGAGGCCCATTGACATCTACATGTATCCTCAGTTAAGAATCAAAATGCAGATGTCACTTCTGCGGACTAAGATGGAATGGCTCATTTCCTGTAATAATTTATTCTTACAGACTAAAATAGAAAGGTGACCGTTAAATAAAAATAACTGAAATAGCTCAATCTATTTATCTGGCACATTATTATTTTTATACATCTCAAAACATTCTGACTAGTCTGACACTTCCTCCTGCCATTCTTAGGTTGACATTTTTCTTTAAGCTGTTATTCAACTTTTTACGGTGGCGTTAACAAATGAACTGTCCTCTCTTACGACTATAACTTTGTTTTGTGTCAGAAGATGATCATTTTTTTTTAAATACCTAATGTTCAGATTTTCAATAATAGGTTGTTACATTGACGACTATAGAAACGTGGGTAAGAGTTTCTTAAGTTTTTTCGGCGCTTAGGTGCGCTGTTTTGTATCTAACGTAACCATTTGAATCTTTCTGGGATTTCCCCTAAACACCTCTTACGACATCCACAGCACGAAATTCAACGATGAATTCTCTTATGGAACTACCATATGGCTAAAATCCTATACTTTTTTTTTAGGATAAGGGTGATAATCGAGCACACAGTCCACCTGATTGTGGTTGCTGTGGCCCATAGACATCTAATTTTTGCGAATCAAAATGCATACGCGTTGTCAGCCGTGAGGACTAAGATGGAATGCCTTTTTTCCAGAAAAAGTGGTCTCCGGTTCTCTACACTCACCGTATAAAACACAGCAGCATTAAGCTGCTATTTTACGCTGGTATTAGTGAGAGTGTGGTCCTTCCCCCGTCGAGCCAACCCATTCGTGGTTTAACTATACAATTAATATAGTTGTAGCATGGCTCTACCACGTATGGACCTTTATTCAAATTTTTAAGAGTTAAAAAGAATATATAATATTCTGCAATCTATTTATACAAAAATTCATCATGCTGACAAGCTTAACTACATTATCGTTAAAAGTTTTCCCTATTTTCAACATTGAAAAAACTACGTAACTAATATGCACAAGTCATTTGTTACTAACAGAAACTCTACCCCGGACAGCCCAAGGTCAGTGCGAACTACGCTTTCCGAATATTCAGCTAGTTCCCCGGGGAAACATTGCGAGCCATTGCGATAGTAAAATATTTTGATATATTTCACGATATATTTTAGCCATGAACTGTATTAGAGAACGTAAAATATTGTATATGACAATAGATACAATGCTCGAATTGAGGCTTTTTATTCAACTAGAAAATACCGAAAAAACTAGAATATAATACATAAACTTTCACGCCTGTCACTCAAAGGTATAAGCAGAGACTATTGACTTTCAATTCGCGTGACCCTAACACACCTCTTTCGCTTCCTATATATCCATACATCTACGCATACATTCACCTCACCGCCAATTTGATCGACAACCTTCGTCAAGGCTTTCGTCCTTGTCGACTTCGCCACTCACTTCGGCAGCTTACATTTGCCACCAAAATTTAAAACACCAATGAATTCCTTTGGTCACAACATTTTTTTATAAAATAAAGGTGACACACAGTTAGATAGAAGTGTGCACACAATCCACCTGATGGTAAGTGTATGCTGTGTCCCATTGACATTTACATCTACATACTCGAATGAAAATCAAAATTTGGATGTGCTGTCACCCTTGAAAACTAAGACATAATAATACCTCATTGCCAGTAAGAAAATAAAAAGGGTTTCCGATACTCTACACACACACTCACCATATAAAACACGGCAACATCAAGCTGCTATTTTACGCCGGTATTCTGTGCGAGCGAGGTCCTTCCACGACCGAGCCGACCCATTCGTACTTCAGTCATAACATCGCCATAAAATATATCTCTTCTTGCAAACCACACTTCTCTCCTATCACACAATTTATCACCATACGGAGACATCATACCTAACATACTTCTAAATGACCACATTTTTACTGTATTCATGTTAATCTCATGCAATACAATGAAACATTAAATTAACTTGACTATACATCTTAGCTTTTTACAAATAAGGATAAGAAGCGAGCACACAGTCCACCTGATATTAAGTGAATATTGTGGTCCATAGACGCCTACATCCCTGTTTTTAATAAAATATCATAATGCAAATTCGTATTCACTCCTGCGATCTAAATTAGAATTCCTCATTCCCAGAAATAATACAAATATAAAATTTAAAACCCCGAAAAAACAGCTGACGACCTTGAAACGGCTGAACCAATTTTGACAAATATGTCTAAAACCGCCATTAGAAAACCTGCTTTTAAATAAAATAACCGCACCCAAACTGGTTCACCCGTTTAAGAGCTACGGCGTCACAGACAGACACATAGATAGACAAACAGACAGACACACATAGCGATCAAATTTATAACACCCCCCTTTTTGCGGCGGGGGTTAAAAATTGTATCCGATTCAAGTCACTCACCCTACAAAACACAGCAGTATTATGCAGTCATTTTCCGCACATATTCTATATAACCGCGGTCGATTCCCAGACGGGCCGATTTATTCGTACTGCAGGCATAATACAGCTGCAGTTGACAATGTTTGTTTTATTGGCCAATAAACATCACTCATAAAAATTAAAAATGAAACATCCATTTATTACGGCCTACAAACGTCCAGAGCTGAACATAGGCAGCCATATAGATTGCCTTATAGGAGAGGTTTTGCCGTAGTTGCCACGCTTGGCAGGCGGGTTGGCAATCACATTTTTTTATAATTTTGAGTTGTTATCAAGACGATGCTGCTGCCCATCAGTTTCAGTTTCCCTCTGTCGCCTCTTACGAAACCCACGGGACAAAATGGGGTAGTGAATATTCTTACGAACGAGGAACTGAACACTGAACGATAAAAAACATGCATTAATTTAATAAGTAAAAAATTTTTAGCACCTACCAACTTTTACTTGTCTAAATCTCCCAGGGTTAACTGTAATGTGACAGGTTGTGTGATGTGTATACGAAACAAAATGTATCGTATACACATCACATACGACATAATATATTAGGTTGCATGTTTACGCGCAAGTGTGCTCTGTGTGCAGCGAGTATATTAATAGGAGTCATGGTAGCTCAAGGATTAGATGCTCGCCTTGAATTTCACAGCAAGTTCGATTCCCGCTCGTACCAATAAAGTTTTTGCTTTGCAATTTCAAGTTCGGTTCACTGGTAGAGAATACCGTAAGGCATTAAGTTCTTCCATTGTAATTCTTAGATTAATCAATAAAGACTAATTCACAATACAGATTAAATAAATTAAAAAAATTACCTTATCCGCCTGCCTCAAACAGTCTATCCTCCTCATTTTCCCCTTCTGATCTGGATTGGATAAGACGCATACTGCCGGCCTCTTCCCAGTTATACTCAGGACGAAGTCTTCCCGGCAGTCCTGCGTTATATCCTTTCTTAGTTTGCCTAGTAATCGTGAAGCCCATTTTTGTTTAACTTCAGCTTTTTCGTTCTGAAATTTTTAAAAACAACTAAGTTATTTATAGGTTACGATGTACTCTTAACCCTTTTACAAGTACCTTTAAGATCTTTTACAAGTAACATATAAGTAAATTAATTAGCACGAATTTGTCGGCCGGGCAGGGACCACGCTTTCACAGAATACTAGTGTAAAATAGCAACATAATGCTGTTGTGTTCCGTATGGTGAGTGTAGAGAACCGGAGATCCTTTTTACTGGAAAAGAGGCATTCTATCTTAGTCCTCACGGCTGACAACGCATCTGCATTTTAATTCGCAAACGAAGATATTTGTAGATGTCTATGTGCCACAGCAACCACTTACCATCAGTTGGATTGTGTGCTCATTTGTCACCCTTATTTTATATAAAAAAGCTAAGATTAACGTTCAAGAATAAAACGAGCACACAGTCTACTTGATTAAGAGAAAGCTATGGTCCATAGACACCTAAGTCTATCCCTGATTTAAAATGCAGATGCGTTGTCACTCCTAAGGACTAGAAGAATTGTAATGTAGTAACCTCACACGACATTTGTATTTAGTAGAGATAGTCTCATCAAAGATATAGAAGAAGAAACGGGTCTCTTATTGACACTACCTAACCTATTACAGAATGTCCTATTACCAGTAAAAGGGGTCACTGGTTCTCGTCATTTAACATACGAAACACACCATTATTATGCTGCTATTTCACATTGGTACTTTGTGTAAGCATATACCTTCCCTAGTCGAGTTGACACAGCCACAACAAGCTGCACCTTGGCGATACTTCGCTTTGTAGAGCACCAACTCTCCCACAATCACGTGAACGTTCACTGCCACCTCTACACTCAATACCACTCTAACCATAATGATTTCTTATATTTACGCGAACACTACACATTTAAATAAACCTAGTTTTACGGATTTTGTCGCGTATATTAACTTATTTTATATTCCCGATGTGGTCACGGGGGAACTGAGGTGTCTGACGTCCCAATGTCGTAGTTAACCATAGCTTCCTCCAGATTAAAATTATTAATTTTTGTTCCGATCTACGCAGTATGAACTTACAGTATCTTGAAATCTTGCTTGTTAATATACGCGGTAAAATCCGTAAACCTGGTTTTATTTAAACGACTCTAACCATTTCATTCGAAAATACACTCCAACGGAAATAACACAACACGTCATTATCTTCACCATTACAACACATTGACAAGTCCATTGCTGAACATAGGCCTCCCCCAGTAATGTCACAAAGCTCGATCCTGAGTCACCTGCATCTATTAACTTCCTGTATCTCTTACCAGGTCGGCACTCTATTTAATGGAGAGCCGCCATACACGCCGCTTATCGTTATATAGGCTGCAACTCGAGAGTATTTCTTTCCCGTCGTTTGTTGGTTCTTTAAATTATATGGCCGACCCATTGCCACTTCAGCACACCGATTCGTTGCGGTCGGTTAATCTGGTTCTACTGCGGATACCCACGAAGATTATACGTGAAATGAAACTCCGGGCATAGCCTTCTCCATAGCTAGCTGAGCGACCTCGGGCTTCCTCATGCGGCCAGCAGTGACCTTAGATCATTCGATAGCTAATCGCTTAGCAGTAAACACCGCAGTTAGCTTTTGGTGCTTGTTATTGAATTAGTTGTGGCCGTGAAAGTATGCGCGTGTATGTGGGAGGGAGGGAGGTACTCTTCAAACTTTGTAATAAACACTACGATATTTTTTTTTTATATAATAAGGGTAACAAACGAGCACACAGTCCACCTGATGGTAAGTGGTTGCTGTGGCCCATAGACATCCACATCTATCTTCGATTACGAATCAAAATGCAGATGCGTTGTCACCCGTGAGGACTAAGATGGAATGCCTCTTTTCCAGTAAAAAGGGTCTCCGGTTCTCTACACTCACCATACGAAACACAGCATTAAGCCGCTATATTACGCTGGTATTCTGTGAGAGCTTGGTCCTTCCCCGGTCGAGCCGACCCATTAGTGCTACAACTATACTACTAATATAGCTGCAGCATAGCTCTACCACGTAAAAATTCGGTCTGGAGGACATTACTATTTGACTTGATCATAATACTTAATAGGGAGGATTTAGACAAACGCCATGCTTGACAATTTGAGTACCAGACATCTTGCCTTTTGACACTGCTCCCCGTCCCGTTTGGATATCTAACACCTGGGATATGTACTAAAAGGATATTCCGGTATTTATAGAGAACTTAGGCTTCCACCTTTTATGACATTTCCATCTGTCCGTTACACCTTATAAAACTCTATTGTGGAAGGCCTCCTCCATAGTCACGTTTGACAGGCAATTGGCAACTCCACTATTTTATTACCTTGAGATGTTATCAGGAAGATGCTACTGCCCACCTCCTGCTTCAGTGTCTCTCTGTCGCCTCTTACGACATCAACGAGACGATATGGGGTAGTGGATATTTTTACACCAACAGTATACTATTCACGGTTATGACACTTTTAGCAAATAATTATTCATTTGTTAATAAGAGAATCCACTACCACCTTCTGTTTCGCGGGTGTCGAAAGAAGCAACTTTGAGAAATATAAGAAAATTCTTAGGGATTCTTATAAATGAATAATTAATTAATTTTCTATAATTAATTTCTTATTAATTATAGAAAATTTATTAAGCCGCCGAATTTCACGAACGCACATCGCGGCAGAACTCCCGATAACATCCACTCTATCTGGATGATCCATGGTGGTCTGGTGGTCCACCACTGTGCAATTTAGAAGATGTTTTGTTCTTCGCACAACTTCCTTGTAGAATCGATTATCACCAGCGATTTTTCCGGACCGATACGACTTAGGGACCTTCAAGAAAAGAGCCTACCACTTCTTAAAAGGCCGGTAACGCAACTGCAATTCCCACCATCAGGTGAGCCGCATGCTCGTTTACCCCTCTCTTATGAAAAAAATGGATTTATAACCAACTCGTAAGCACCAGACGTAAAATACCCGGATCAAAGACGGACAGGACCATTAAAGTTGCAAGACGTGGTCGATAGTCAGTCCGTTAACTAACTAACTAAGCTGCCAAGCATTACTATTAAAGCAAAACCCAATAGAAGAGAATAGAAGATAAGAATACAATAAAAGAGGCCCAGTGTAGCAGTGGATTTTTAAGGGTTGATGAAGAGATTTAAGATTGATATAGACATAAACGTTTACCTGTAACTCATATTTTGTATGCCGCTCCTCCTCGAGACTCATCCGCTTCTCGTGTTTCTTATAGTATTTCCTTTTTGCCGCTTGTAAATTGAACCACGTATACGAAAAGGACTTTACAAAAGGCATCAGGGCCTCTATGAACGGATGGAACTCGTCCTGTGAACATTCAAGCAATCAAACGAGCTTTAACTACATTATTAGCACCTCCATTATAATGGCGCCCAACGTGGGGCCGCGCCATTTTGCAAAAAGTTGTTTTTTAATTTTATCAATTTTTTTTAATTTGAAATACTTCTATAGTTCTCTATTTAAAACTACATTTTTTAAATATTTTTACTGATATTAATTAATGCCAATATATACTCTATATAGTATTATGACTCTAAATGAAAATCACTTGTGTTTATTTTTTTACAATGTAAAGCAAGAAATATACCACTATAAATTTAATGCAAAACACTTTTATAAATTCACATCAGAATAGTTATCTTAGAGAAATCAGCATTATCAAGTCACATGCACTCTTCATATTACTGGGTTACACAAAGAAAAAGCTTACAAAGGATGGCCCTTATCCACCGGCGCACTACTTTCCTGTTATCCTTCTAACAAGATATTAACTTTCCCATGTTAGCATCATCATGTGTAGCTACTTTTGTATCTATAAATCGGTCTAATTTAAAAACCAATCTTAGACGTTGTTGGTTTAAAAAAATCGTCATAATTTTTTAGTTATCCATCAAATATGCTATTACCTGATTGAATTTCAATATCAAACAAATCAATTATTTTATCTATAGAACTGTAAACTTTAATTTATATATGTTGTATTTTATCGTATTAATTTTTTACCTCATGATGGAAGAAAACTCCGGAACCTATTTGATCAATATAATTTTTTAAGACCATTTAACGTTATTTCCCGCTGTACGGTTAATTTGCCAATGGTGGTATACTAAATACGTACGTTTTGGCTAAATAGAAAGTATTAAAATTTATTATAATCATATTTTTGTGTCCGCTTTAATGTTATAAACGAAAACCTTCTACCGTTAAGTCGAGATTTCTTGTGTATACACATTCCTAACAATATCTTTATGTTATATTAGAAAATCTATTGATATAAAAAAATTAAATAGCCCGATATTTTTTTATAATTTACATTAATCAAAAACCGATCAGTATTTAGCAAACAACCTAGGTACTCCGGCTCCGGCATCACAAAAATCGTTAATTTCTGATTCAATACAGATGGTAATATTAAAAATATATAATGGTAACATTAAAAAGACGGCGAAGAAAAACATCGTGGAGGTAACCAGCGTTTGCAAGAAGTAAAATGAATTTCTACTATAAATAAAAGAAATCTACACTGTCCCACTTCTATTTACAATTAAAATGAAAGGATGCATATTTTCATTTCCAGCTCTTCGACGTTTACAGGTTGCAGCAGAAGCAGAAGGTTGTGGCACTAAAGTTTTCGTAATATCCAGAGTGCTCCTGGCGGATGTGAACGGAACTAAGTTTTGTCATACAAAATCATTCGAACGCGATATAAATTTTTAAAAGAATACGATAGAAAACTCATGATCACGGAGTAGTGTTTGTTTGATTGCTATTTATATCAAAATTTCCACTTACTACTGAGACTATAGCGTCATCAGTTATACATATATAATTAAAAACATGACGTGTTATATAATATATTTTTAAAGGCGCTTTTATATTGATAGGCACTTTTAATCCGATAATGATCATCGCGCCATTTATGGAAAATTACTACAAGTAAAAATGAATATCTACGCTCTTCAATTGGGTGTATAATATAATGAAATAACATGTGCCATTCCATTACACCCTATAAAAGTCCAATGTGAACATAGCCCACGTTTGGCTGGCGGGTTGGCTACCGCAGTATTTAATTATTTAGTGTTGTTATCAGAAAGACGCCACTCCCAATCACCGGGTCTAATTTCCTTCTGTCGCCTCTTACGACACCCATGGGACGATAATAATAAGCACCAGCTATCAAGTAAAAAAGAATCATCGAAATCGGTTCACTCATAAAAAAGTTATAAAGTAACACACATGAAAAAAAAAAAACAAAAAAAAACATATGGTGGAATTGAGTACCTCCTCCTATTTGAAGTCGGTAGAAAATTATCCTTCGTCTTTCCACCCATACGAGTGCAATATTCATTCAAATTGAAATGAGACGACGCTTGAATTATAACATATTTAGAAAGAAAGAATCAATACAATTTGGTTCATAATTGCCAAAAATATCGCGTTACATACATACAAAAAATTAGAACCTTCTTCTTTTTAGTTCGGCTAAAGATAAGTGAGTGTTTTCATGTTTGTACACCAACTTGAGGCACAATGACAGTCTTGTCCAGTTAATATCTGCCAACGCTATTTAAAAGTCAAAACTGATCCGGAGGACCTATATCCATCATATCTTATAATTAATTGGGAAAGCTGAGGACTGTAACATTGTTTCATCTGTGCTCGCTCTCCATTTTAACACGTTTTTATTTTTTTAACTTTATTTATTTACTTAATTTTTTATTAACTCACTTTCGTGCATGCATGTTCGGGTCGAATTTAGTAATAGATTTTACTAACTTCTCGATGAGCCAGAGACTTGAAATCTTGGAATTGGATGACAATGAAAGATCATAAAAAAGCATAAATCGTTCTTTGATTGATACTGTCAGGGCACATCGAATAAAAATTAAAATGTAAAAATAATTAATTGATGGATTAATTTCATTAATTAATCACATAATTTTCCGTGCCACAATTTAATTATAAAATAAGATTGATGATTTCCTCTGACTAATGGATTGGTTTTTACGCGAAACAACGCTTGAGTATTTGACCCCAAGGAGGAAGTCAGCCCTAATATTATCATATTATATTAAGTACACAATACGACGTATTACTTGACGCCATACTGTTCTTCCTAGCACCGTTTATGAGCCTGGCGCCCGCTGGGCTTACTTACTCGAAGGACATTATATTTTTTTAAATTATTGTCTTATGCCAGCATCAATATATTGAGTGCGTTTTTTCCGTATGAATTAAGATGAGTTGATGAGTGAAAAAGGCACTTTTGTAGGTCGTGTTTTTTTTTTAGAATTAAGGTTGACAAACAAGCACACAGGCCACTCGATAATAAATGGATATTGTACTCGTAGCTCATAGACAATCTAAGCTATATCTATCCTCATAAAATAATAAATATGTAGATGCATTGCCACCCCGTAAAAGGGTCGTTACCTGTAAAAATCAGAAGCGTCAGTAGTCTAATGGCAGAGCGTGGACCGCGAACTCGAAAGGTCGTGGGTTCGAATCCACCATTCGACTACTGTCGTGAACCACTTCTAACACTAGCATTTTAAGCTTACCAGAAGTAGTTAAAGGGAATATTAGTAATGTTTAATAACCTTACTAGTATTTTTTAATAAAAGAAAGAAAAGAAGAAGACAGAAAAAGGGTCTACGGTTCTTTACACTCACACATACGAAATATAACAGAATTATGCTACTCTTTTACGCTAGTATTCAGAATAGTTCTTCGCCGGTCCATTCGTGTTGTAACCATAATTGCAGCGTATCTCTACTGCGTAAGCTCACAAGGTAATTTTCCCTGCTCCAGATAAAGAATATGATGTTGTGTATAAGCTACTTAGAATAACACTAAACGAAATACGTGCACGCGATAGGTACTCGGAAATCACTACCAAAGTCAACGGGACACATGTTAATATCGCATCATGGTATTATTAGGTGGTTATAGTCAGCCTCGCAACATCGCTGAAACAGATCATCAAAACACTCTTCCATTACAGCCTATAAAATTCCACTGCTGAACATAGATCTCCCTCATAAATTGCCTCATGGAGTGATTTTGCCATAGTTGCCACGCTTAGTAAGCGGGTAGTTTTTTTTATTATTTTGAGTTGTTATTAGGAAGAAGCTGCTGCCCACCTCCTGTCTCTTAGCGACCAATAAATTATACAATCAAATTACAGGATACTTTAAACGAAATTTTTTTTGGAACGAAGTTCCTTATCGGACGGTACGGGTTTGGCGAATGGGAGCTAGGCGACTAGGTGTATTTTATTTTAAATGACGCTTCATTTTAATAGACGCTAATAATTAATTTATTTATATTTGTTAATCAATCATATAATACGTTTATCAATAATAATATAATATGAAAGGAACTTCGTTCCAGCCGAGTGTTCCACGACACTCACGCATGTTTTTTTTATTATAACCAAGTTTTTGATGGTAAGTGGCGATGTAACCTATGATGGTAAAGTGCACTGCCTGAGATCGGTAAGTAGCGATGTAGCCTTTGATAGTAAATTGCACTGCCTATCTACAAATGAGTCGTACTACATAAATGCGTGTGTTAACATCTAAAAACGAACCAGATAGATTATATTAGATCCTACCATCAGACAAAGAAATGTTTGGTCGTTGTTACCCGTGAGGAATAAGATAAAATGCCTCAGTCTGTGAGATGCTTGAAGACATAGGCAACTAAATGCCTTCTCGTTTAAGAATAAAAGTGCAGGTGAAAAATATCTCTCGTTCTTGTCACTAGACATACGAAACACTGCATTGAGCTGCTATTTTACGCTGGTATATTAAAAACTTACGATGATATATCAAAAAGTTTCGTAAGGTTTTTCCATTAGTATCATTCCTCGGCGTTGTTTATTCCATTCTTTCCTGTAAGCAACTTCCTTTATGGGTTATTGGCGTAACATTGACGCTTTTAGTTGTGTCGAAATTCTATCTTTCTTTATAAATCTCACATTGACGTGTGTCATGTTCAAAAAAAAACACGGCCCCATCGCGTATTCATCACGTACACCTCGGACAAATACTGTATTGTTATACCGCTTGAATCATAACATAATATATGCAAATGTGCCGATGTGATTTATTGCAGGACAAGCGGGCGGGCCGCGGGCTGGAATTCGCGATTGTTTGTTTACTTAGGCTTAGAAGTGAATATTCAACTGACCTCTTATTTCATGAGGATACGAATGCCTGACCTATAAGCTGCATTGAATTAAAGATTATGTGAGCAATCGATCGCCAAAAAGATATTCATAAAAGAAATAATGGTCAACA